CCTACCTTTTAACGACTCGCTCGTGGGCTCTGGTACATTTGAATACATAATTGTCAGAGCTTTTTTGTTGTACACTAACTGCTTATCCTGAGAGTTGTAGAGCGGTGAACCAGCGATTAGCACTTGCAGTTCCACCTTGAATTGCTAATTGTCAGTGGTCGAGGCTTTAGGGCGTGTAGGCTGAAGTCCGCAACTAGAAAAACATGGCTGTAGTACCGTAACTATACGTTATTCATAGCAGGAACTAGAAATTGGCCCATTTCTAAATTGGACCTAAGAGGGCGGTATACAATAGTCACCTTAGGTGTAGCTGGCGCAATAACGAGTCGACAGTTTGAAACCATGGGTCGTTAACGCAATCGACGTGTAGGTCTGAGTTATAGTAAATAACTGTAATGTCTTCCTTGGTGGTTCCATCGTTGCGCAGGAGTGAGATGTCAGTGATCGCGCCATTCGGCCATATCATAGTTATCATTGTGGGGTCCCGTGACAGAGGCTTGAATAGGTCGAAGCTCGGTTAATTTATTGTGGAGGCCTTGTGCGTTTGTACACAAGAAATTGAGTGATACGGTTGCCAGGAGCGTATCTCAGCACACAAGTGTTCCGTGCGGAGTTAAATCGACTCTTGTGGGGCCAGATGAAAATTGTTTTTTGAATGCATTTCTAACCTACCGCCCGGGGCTAGTTCGGACAGATGCACAGAGCACCCGCTGCTTAACCCTCTAGTCCCGGCATGTGGCGGACAACTTGTTTCTGCCTCGGATGGTTGGAGCGTCGCATTGCATTCCGGTTCTGGAGTGTCGACAGCTGGAATCGTAACAAAATCTCGCTGTTTTTGTGCTTGCCTAGGTAATGGTATCTTAGTTGCGGGCATTATCAGACGTAGTTCTGATCGTAGTTTGGTGCGAATCTTGTAACAACTTCCAAGCACCGTTACTGCCATTTGTTTGAATTGCCGTTCAACTTTCATCACACTTGGGCCACGTCCATTTTAGTGGATAACCTTGTTATTGCGTTGTTAATCACATCACTGAGAGAAACTGCTTAAGGTACTTCGCGCTACTCTTCCAAGTCATGAGCTTGGGTTTAAGACTCGTCGTAATACTGAATTTCGGAACCATTAAGCAAAAAGACTTATCTTTTGTCGATCCCCTTGCTGTGGTCTCCTGCGTTTTGCCTCCTCTGCGACACTCATTTAAAATTCTATTGGAGAAAATGCAGTGTGTGATGAATCATAAAGACATTAGGCTGACAACAGAACAGTCTTCAATTGGTCACCCGGAGTAGTCTTGATTTGTTACCGTGAACTGGGTTCGGGTGGCCGACGATGCAAACCAAACTGACCTGTTTAGCCTGGATTCTCATTGTTTGGCATGTGGTGTCCCATTGTTACCGGTCGTCTAATAATTCGTCATTGATAAAGTTTGCCTCTGATCCTAGCACATTATAAGCTATCATCTCCAGCGAGTTCTGCCTCGTTCTCGTGTTCATAATTTTGGATAAGGTCGTGCTCCGTTTCGCTGGAGGTGCAATAGCAGGCCTTATCGGTGGTAATCGTGTCATTTCTGCTGCATATACTTCCACTAATCATCGTACGCTCCACAACCACTACCAGCTTGTCACATTTCGCCGCCGGCACTGAGATGTACCTTACGAGTGGGATGATCATACACTCTGTACAGAAGGAAACAGATTCTAGTGCGCGGTGTCGTTCTTTCATCGCCACTATCGATAACCGGACGCACTTGGGAAGGAATTGCTTACCGTGGTTGCATGTTATTCCAATTCGAAAACTTCTGGGGCACGAATTAGAATAACAAAGAACTTTTATCTGTGGACACGTAGACTATGTGCACCTTATTCTTCGTGGTGCAACGTTAAGAACCATGTTGATGTCTAGGGTCAGTCACGTGTGTAACTGAATTTAATCACCGTCTATTGTGTGTTATATACACGACATTTCATCTGAAGTCAGCGTCAACTAAGATCTCGGTCTCTGAAGTAAACTATGCGATGACGCGCCGGAGCTGAACTTGCTATGATGCAGATGTGGCGCATATGTTCTAGACGCGCTTCTGATTAGGAGGAACACAAAAGTGTAAAACCGAAGAAAGAAAGTAGCCCGATTTAATGCACCCCGTGTTTATACACATTTAATCTTCGATCTGCTGTGACTCAAACACGTTGAACAAACTTTCCCTTTGTGCTCGTATGGTGCAGAACTCCCACATATTGCGAGAGTGAGAGTGGATAGAGTGAAAGAATCCGGAAATAACTCGACAACCGAACAGACACAGTGAAGACTGTGTGAACTGACACCAAGATGGAACTCTATCAAAAAAACCTCAGGTTCACTGATCGGAAAGCCGAAGATGAAATAGGAGTAAGTACTTGCCAATATGAGATTCGACAATTAGTCAACCTTCTCAAACCAACGGAATATTTCGGCAAGAATAAACATGTTAAAGAAAGCACACAACAGATGAATGGGTGCCCTAATACCACCCACAGTAACAAAAGGTTTTGGATTTTTTGAATGGAGGTCATTTCGAAGCACTCGTTGTGTGATTGGATTGCGACATACAATCTCAGTGTGGACCGCAAGTGCCACTGGAGTGAAGCTTGCACAAATCGATTACTAGGACCGTAGCTGATGAAGCAGAAGGAAATTGGACATTTCTGGCCAGAAAACACTGCACTCCGCGACCGGTTTCGAATCTATTTGATCTCAGCAAGTAGAGATAGCAGGCATAAAACCCTAGGCTATCGGGATGTCAGTCGAAATTGCTACCTTTATGCCACCAAGTCAAGATGGGCAGCACTTGTCGCAACGATTAATGACTGATCGAAGGGGCATTTTGAAGCACTTGTTGTGTGAATGCATTGCGTCACCATGCGTGACTCAGTGAGTTAGGAGCAGAGGTTTCGGCTAACATCCCGATGGTCTCCGGATTAAGTGCTCACTACTTTCACATGATGAGGTCCAATAAGTTTGACGCCAGTCATGTAGTGCGGTGCAAACAAGACCAAAGAGAATGAAGTGGTCTCCAGACTACACAAGTTCACCGAGTTTTAGAAAACGACCTAACTCTTAGTAAGTAGTAGCGATATTTATTGGGTTTCTGTGAAGATTCGTCGCAGCTAGGCTTACACAAACAGCCAGCACACATCCAAGAAAGCGCTAGACGGCCATTTCAATTTATTGGGATTCGTTAGTAGCGCGCGCCTGCCGAATCCTGCCGGATTTGAACCCGCAACCTTACGTTTACGAGCCAGTGGCTTATGCCACTGAGCCATGGGTGACGTAGCAGACCGCCATGACTGATATCTAACTGCGATATAGCGCGGCTCATCCTCCACTGTCATGCACGTTATGAACGTGCAGAGGACAGGGATGGCCTCCAGAGCCACACCTTCCTTTTCAAACCGCCACCAATCATCACAGAAACGAATTAACTCGACGGGAGTCTCGTGTACTGCCTGCTGCTTGATTAGTAAGAGCAGTTTTATTGGATGTAACTGATGTAAGTCAGTGTTAAGGAGGAGCACTCCAGTTGAGGCTGATCCGCACATCACAGCGATTGTAGCCATCTCGCATTCCACTGGTGTTTCAGTCACCGCCTGGACGGCAGAAGCTCGAGGATACTAGCCACACATAGGTCAGAT